CTGTAATACAGACCGCTACAGAAGATCTTTCCTGCCCACAGCCATCAGCATCTCAATAAGTTTTTAGTTAAATGAGTTACAACAACACCTAATTTCCCTCTGGGGTCAATAAAGTATTTTTGAATTTGAATCGAATTGATCAGGTCATGCAGCAACCAGCAGGGGTCGTGCTACCTTTAAAAAAGAAAAACGAAATACAACAGAAGGTTAGATAATGAAAAAAAAGAATAAAACAAATAATCATCATTGATCAAATGTTATTGATTTACTTTATTTGTACAGCGCACCTCCCAGGAACCTCTGCAGCTCCTGGTCAGTCAGAGTTTGGACCCTCCACCACATCTGCTCCACCTTCAGCATTCTCTGCATCCTCAGCAGGAGATTCTCCAGCTCAGTAAGGTGAAAACCCCTTCGCAATTTCTGACACAAAGTTTGTGCTAATGTGGGGTTCCAAGTGGAAATTTGTGCATATTCTCACAGTTCTGCTTCCAAAAAGTCCCCTACCGTCTCAGCCAAGTAAACAAAACTAGCTTTAAATCTTGTAAACGGCTGAAGTGAATGCTWTTTCATAAGTCTTTATGCTACCATTTGTTTTGTGGTACAAAATTATTTACATAGATTTTTGTGGTTGTTTGCATCATAAATGTAGCAGCAACAAAAAAAAGGAGCATGTTGTTTCATCCATCAATTTATGTAGTTTCTTTAATTGCCTTTTCCATACAGGGTTGTGGCTGGTGCCTATCTTCAGGGGTTGTGAGGTTAAAAGCAGAGTTTACTTCAAGTCCTTCACAGGGACACATTTAACAGTTGTGATGTCAACCCCAGAATAGAAACCTCAACAGTTTTTTTTTTTTTGCATTGCGTGATTTGGTTACAGTAAAGGAAATATTTTATTTGACGCCAAGTTTCACCAGAACATTTCTGCTCACTGACGCTGCTACTTGTGCTAACTAACAGAACGGAGTAATGGTTGAATAATTAGTGTTTGTGTGAACCTTCACAAAATGTTGAAGCTTCCTGTTTTGAGGAGAGTACCTATGGCTGTGTTTCAATGCATGTGCCGGATCCTCATGAGTACGTAGCCCAACTGGACTGCGTGGGCCACATCCTTCCCAGTCCGGGTAGGCTTCATGAAACTGCTGTGAATAAATGAGATGGTCTAGCCTTCACTTGATGTATGTTTGCGTGACCACACGCCACCCCGTTACCACAGTGATCAGTTTCATATCAGACTAAAAATGCATTGGAACATGTATTTACAGGTCTTTTCACTGGAAGAATAACTTCACAGTTAAAACATTGCAAGTAAATAAAAAAAAACATTTATAATTCAGGTTTAGCTCCAGTATCAGTACTTGAAGTTTTTATTCAACATTTTATCTTTATGTTTGAAGCCTGAAATGTGGCAAAAGGTTGAAAAGTTCAAGGGGACCGAATACTTTTGCAAGGCACTGTGGGTACTGAAGAATTATAGGTACCAGAGAACATGGGTACTGAAGAACATGGGTACTAAAGAACATGGGTACTGGGGAACATAGATACCTGACTATCGTTGGGGCCCTGATTCACACCTTTTGCTCACATGGAGCTGAGCCATTCCAAAAGAAAGCCATTTTTGTGAAGAAAAACCATCCACCATTAAACAGAGATGAAGGCCTTCATGTCCAGTTGTCTTCCTCCTACAACGCTGTTATTGCAAGTATGACTCAGCCCCATGTGAGCAAAAGGTGTGAATCAGGACCCCAACGATAGTCAGGTGATGGGGCACATGACCCTCTATGAACAATAGAGCCAATCAAGGCACTAATGATCTATTGTTTGGCTGATGGCCCTCTTTTGCATGTGACTAACCTATTTGTCCACCATGTGGAGGCAGTGCTTGTGAGGCTGAGTTCACCTGAAACTCTCAGACTGAAGAAGTCTCTTGGAAGAGAGACAAAATGTTTCATTAAAGAAGAACCCGTCCAGAGGACCTACTTATTTTTCTTTTTGAATGTACTGTTGAACATAGCTACCAGGGGAACATACAGTTGGTACTGGGGAACACAGGTACTACTGAACATAGGTATGGGGGAACATGGGTACTGAAGAACATAGGTACTGTTGAACATAAGTACTAGGGAACATAGGTACCAGAGGAACATACAGTAGGTACTGGGGAACATAGGTACTGGCAGCAGTCCACCTTGGTGTTAGCAGTAAAATCTAAATGATCTTTTTTCACCAAACTGAAGTTGTTCAAAAAGCTATTTTCAGCAGGTGAGATGATCATTTTTCATGACCTCTCCAGAGTATGTCAGCTCAAGTGGACCCGAATATCCCTTTAACCTCATACAGAAAGGACAAAAGTGTCAAGTTCAGGTTGTTTCCAAACCTCCACCTTACCATTTCTAGTGTTTTGAAGTAAAATTTTATTCATTTGAAATGTAAATGCCTTTAGTCACAAAAACACATAAACACATGTAACTGAAATTAGGATTCTAAAATAAAATGACCATTTAAAACAAGTCATTTCATAGTGCATAGAAGTTGAAGGTTTCAGAGTCTTGTTTAGTGCCACGGGTGCATCAGTGGTGCCTGCAGCGTCAGCAGACAGTGTGTGCAGCTGCAGCCACGCGGGGAGATCTCACCACCAGTAATCTCAGTCTGGCGCCTGCTGACTGGATCAACTCCTTCCCACTGACAGAGACAAAGAGGCGAGGKTACGTGTGCTATAACTGCATCTTTTCATCCAGGTTTTCACTTTGAAACTTGAGGCTTTCTGGATTTCCTACCTCTCGTAATCCAGGCTGAGCAGACTGACTCCGTTGACAGCCAGGATCCGGTCTCCTGGCCCCAGCTTCTCGCACTGGGCTGCTGGGGAGTCTGGGACCACTGTTCGGATAAAGACCCCCTTCACCTCCACCGACATGTCCTGAAACATGATGTCATAACATTATGCTCTCATTAAGATTTCACAGACAGAAATCCTCGTGACAAAGCTCTTTGGCTGCCTCTTAATGTTTTTTTAAACAACGCTCTCCATTTTGTGTTTTGTACGTAATCCAACCTAATGACACTGTGATTAAAGCATCATATTAAGTAAAAAAAAGCTGAAGGTTAACACCACTGGTAAGGCAGACTGTTTGAAATTTCTTTCTCAAACATGTGGAAGGAGGTCAAAGTCCTGCCCATCACAACAGCACCATATTTGGTGCAAACTCAACACCTCCTATCATGCTGAGAACACCATCCCCACAGTAGAGCTTGGTGGTGGCAGCATCATGCTATGAGGATGTTTTTCCATCAGCAGAAACTGGAAAACTGGTCAAAGTTAAAGGAAAGACAAATGAAGCAAAACTACAGAACTGTGGAGGAAAGCCTGWTGGTATCTTCAAAAGATTTTTAGACAAGTTCAACTAAATCAGGATGATGACCCTGAACACACCACTGAAGAAGCATTCCACTGGCATAAAGAGAACCAAGTGGTTCAGTCAAAACCTAGACCTCAAACCATCTGAGACGGTTCAGTTTTAGATTGTGTAAAAGTTATTTTGACATTAAGTTATTTAACCAAGTTTTTGTTCCTATCTCCATCTTCACTCTACTTATATGTAGTTGGGTGGCAGAGGCAACCCAGACATCCTTCTCCCCCAAGAGACCCTGTTGTTCCCAAACCAGACACCTTACTCTCCTCAACTGTGTCTTGAGTGTAGGGATGGGTACCTTTGACATTTGAATCGATTCGGTACCAATATCCGGTACCTGGGAATCAGTACTGGTTACTTAATGGTACCAATTTTCGGTACTTTGTGTGTGTTGTTTTTTTTAATAATAAACTTTTTTAAAATTTATTTAACATATTTCTCAATATATAAAATTTAACAAATATCAAGACAAAATCCAACTCTTTGTATTGTAACATCAGTTTTTTAACTAATTTTTTCAAGGTGAAAACTCTTGAAAACAACAAGACTGTTTTGTGTTATTACACAAATTAAAATCCAGCTCCACATACTGTATTTCTATTGATGTCATTTCCCCGCTACAAAAATTGTGTGATGGAGGTCCATGGAAGGCAAATGAGTTTAAATCAAATAAGCAAAAGAGGATTGAGTTAAAATAAATAAAAGGTATTCAAACTACGTTTTGAGAATCCAAAACACGCCCAACTCTTGGCTGCTTGTGCTCTTTAGGTCAGACGCGTTCGGAATGTGTCTCTGTTGTTTTCCTCTGCCAGCCTCTGTTTAATGGTGGATGGAATAAAGAAAGTGGTGGTACTTTATTTACTTTGAGCAAGCGAACGTCGTGCTCACAAGATAATTAATCCACCAGATAATTCAGAGGCGATCTGTTCGGTGAGTTTTACTCCAGGAGCAGCAAAGCTTTCAAGCTACGTTACCGAGTTCTGTTTACTGAACCAGCGGCTGATGATGTCATTACGCTCTTGCACGATGCTGCTTTCAGGACAAACATGGAAAATCTTCTGCTCTTACGCCAATACGGTCGCAATAATGCATTTAAGTACCGAAACATGGAACCGTTTGATGTTATGTGAATAGGTTCTTAAGATACTTTAAAAAGTATTGAATTCAGTACCCATCCCTACTTGAGTGTGTGTATGTATATACGTATGTATGTATATTTGTTTTGGTCCTAGGGGTTGCCCCCTTTGGCGAGCCAGACAGGAGTTTGACATGTGATGTAGTGTTTATGCTGAAGACCATAACCGTAATCCATAAATTCCATTTGGAAAATTTGCATGTTTTAAGTCATGCATCACAAAGCTGCCGTACTCCAATTTGTAAAGAAAAGTAAATATTTACAAACCCTCCAAACTTCACTGTTCACTCACCCTTGTGTCCACCAATGACAGACCAAATCCTCCTTCCCCTCGCTCCAACTCCAACATGAAAACCTTGTCATCTACCTCCTCTTCCTCAAACTCTTCCACCTCTTCCTCCCTCAGCTTTGTAAGTCTGTTTGCTCTGCTGCACTCTGACTTCAGCGCAGCCAGACATTCCAACACAAACCCACCTATAAAAACRAATACAGGACAAGTTCAGTTTCTTTTGAAGCAGATATTTAGTCAGAGACCACTATGCTAAAATAACTCTTACTACACCTTCACTGTCACCATCGGTCTTCACCACTTCACCTGGATCCATCATGTTGGGGGTCTGAGGTGGGGTCAGGATCAGGGTAGTATCCAGAGCTGCCCTCTTCAACTCACTGCTCTCTGTCTCTTTGCTCTGCAGCTCCACATTTATCAGCTTTTGGGCCAAAATGTGTGCACTGTCACAGCTGAGCTTATCCTGGGCAGCAGAGGAGGGGGATGGAAGCAAAACCTGAAATAACATCAGCTCATCTGCTGATGTGTTGGACGAGTCCAAACTGCGGGCTTCATGGGTGTTTACATCAGTTTGGGTCATTTCCGTCTGAGCAGCACCACCCTGCAAAAAAGTGTCAATTAGGTCACAACAAATCTCACATTAGACAAGATGATTGAACTTTTTCATGGTTTAATTTTAAACATAAAACCAGTGCTAAAAGGTTTATATGAATTTGAACTGTTAAGTTGATGTACTTTTTTAAGTATTTGGGGCACATTTAGACAGACTTTGCTTTTCCTGGATTCAATCTCTTCCCATGAAAGGTTATGAACAATCACTATCTCACCTGTTGTAGATACTGCATTTATATATTGTAGACTGTTAAGCTAGCAGCTAATCTGACCTCAGATAAGACCAAACTGGATAAAAAAATAATTTCAGTGGGGCAGACATGATAGATATTTAACATTTTTTTCTGCCTCCCCCTCCAGTGAGTCAAGGTTGTGTTTTGTGAAAACAGTCCAGTCTAATGCTTAAATCAGAGAACCTGTGCGCTAGTCTGCTGTTGTCACACACAATTATTTAAGCTATGCAAATAAATGTACAACATGAAACTGACAGTGATGTARATGTTTGCWAAAGGTGTTTACACAAACTGCTATTTTTTGGGACTGGAGCAGTTTTAATAGGGCAGCAATCGACGTTGTTCTTGGCTTTGTTTCAACTAGCCGTTAGCTCATCAGTCCAGTCAGAAAAAATAGTTCCACTAGCCCTAAAACACTAATTCAAATATCTAGGTCCCCTAATTCTAAGTTTTAGTAAAAGCTAATTCTRAAGCACTAAAATAACCCAGTCAACCCATGAACATTCTTCATAGGGGAACTGTGCCCWCTACTGCTTGCTTCCAACACCATATGACCACAGGAGCAGAGCTTCTCTTAAAGTGACAGTAACCTATTTACTGTTCTAGCATAATTTACCAAAACAAAAAAACATCTTTACAGAACAATATTCTGAATTTAAGCATTATATCAAATGTGTTTTAGCTTAACTTATTCAATGAAATAGAATATTTGATTGTGTCCAAATTCAGAGGCTGGGTTCTCTGTAAGACCTGGTCTAGGTGGGCTGGGTCCTTGGTAGACCACGATGACCGGCTGTGAATTTGGACAGTCTAGGTAAACGTCCTATAGCCTAGCAACCGTGACGACGCTAAACAGAAGCAAAATTAGATAGAAATTCGAAAAATATCAATATATTAGCATTAATAATAATAATAATAAAAATAATTAACTTAAAGCAATATTTGAAGAACTAATGGACCTGCCATAGATGCATGTTTATTTTGCTAAACCAGCTCATTTTATTTCTGTGAAAAATAATATTTAAAAACATGTCTATACAAATAATAAAAGCTTTAAGAACACAACCGCTTGAAGCTTTTAATTTTAGCACCACCAGATTTTTATTTAAACTGTATTCTTTTCTCTCGCTTCGTCTGCCATTACTAGCAGAAAAAAAATCTCCGGTCGGCCCGCAATGCATTATGGGGTATGGTGAGCCGAGAAGGATCCATCGGACCAGTCCTTCAAATCGGGGCAAAAGAAGGACACCTTTGTTGGCMGGATTGGAGGGGTCTTCAGATTTGGGCAGGCTCCGGCGCTGTGACGTAAGCTGCCGATGAATTCGGCCTTCGGAGGACCCTGCCTCTGAATTTGGACACAGTGCAAATTACGTTTTTACATAAATAAAGTAAACCTTAAACAAAAGCACACAAATCACATTTTTATATGAATTTAAACATGAACAAACTTGGCTCTCACAGAAAACATTCTTTACAAGCTACAGATGTTAGCCAGCTATCAACAGACTAAAAATGATAATTTTCCATTTTCTTTCTTTTGTCCCAAATTTATTGCATACCCTGTTGTATCCAATAATGTGAAAATTAAATACTATATACATATTGTGTTACCTGGACCTTTCCAGCCTCAGCAGTATCTAACTGGTACTCTGACAGGGAGGTGATAAAATCTTTAAGCTTGTGCAGCTGTTCCCTTAAAGCTGAGCTTGCGACTGCGGTCCTTAGCTGAAACTGGTACCCCTCATCAGGCAGCACCAGTGGATGGTGGGTGTCAAAGCTCACCAGGATGTCAGCTGAGAAAAGAGCAAGATCATATAAAACTGAAATACAGTAAATGATGAGTAAACATCAAAACTTTTGAGACAGCAGTGGTTAAGTGGTTAGAGGAATCGTCATCCAATGAGAGTTGGCGGTTCGATTCCACCACTATTCAGTTATATACTGTGTGTCCCATCAGTGCATGACTATGATTTAAAAGCACTTGTCTCGAYAGAATGATTTGTCCAGATTAGCTTTGTGTGGCGTTTGGCGATACTAGAGTTCTGAATGTGTGTGAATGGGTAAATGAGGGCATAGACTGTAGTAGTGTAAAGCACTTCAGTATCCTGGTTGGATAGAAAAAAGGCATATATTACTCCAGCCCATTTACCACATACCATTTAGATCACCTTTAAGAATTTTGGAAATGAATCCGATCCTACAAGGTGCTCACCAGTTTTATGGGTTGCTGCTTGATCCTGTGCTGACGGAGTCCAAATCTGTCTGTAGGGAGATGYTGGGCTGTAAAGATTCAGCAGGTGGTTCAGCTGGGCTGGGCTCAGGGAAGGGTACTCAGTGCATAAAGATGTCCAAGGTGTCTGAGCACGAACACACACGCACACACGATAAAGAACATGAACAAATACAGAAATGCTTCATTCTAAAGACGTGATAAACAAGMAAGAACTTGTCTTTAAAAGTAAATCAACATTCAAGATAATGACACACAAAATGTTAAACTAACGTGGGTGACATCCAGCTGAATTAATCCATCTTTTTTTCTACAAAAAACAAAAATGAGTGAAAGTACCTTAATGTCTACAAACATTGAAGTCACTGCTGAGTGAGCAGCTGAAGACTTGTTTTGACAGTAGGTCTGCTTGGACAAGCCAGTATTAGCTTTGTCAGTAGTCTATTTTTTCAGTATACAGTATTTATTAGGAAACGAATGTCCTAATGTAAATTACAGGCCAAAAGTTTGGACACACMTTCTCATTCAAAGTTTTCTTTATTTTCATGACTATGAAAATTGTCGATTCACAATGAAGGCATCAAAACTATAAATTAACACATGTGGAATTATATACGAATTATATAATAAT